GAGATCTGCCTGCCTCTGCCTCCTGAGTGCTGAGATTAAAGGTACGCACCACCACTGCCTGGCCAACATTTCTCTTTTTGAAGACAGTGGACAAATTCTGAAGAATGACATCTGAGGTTGATCTCTGACCTACACACACACACACACACACACACACACACACACACACACACACACACACACTTTTTTTCTGCTTCTAACTAGATGTTGCTGGTATCTCTAAGCACACTGATCTTTGTGTGTTGACTTGGTGTCTTGCAATCTTGCTGCCCTCACATATTCGTCCAATTATCTTCTTCATAGATTCCTTGAGCCCCTCTACAAAAACAATCACTTTCGTAGACTTCTTGTGGGTATGGAGTAATTGCGGTGAGAGTGAAGAGTCCCATCCTGCAACCAGGCCAATGCAAGTCTGGCTGTCAAAACTTTATCCACACTCCTTACTAGACTGAAGATGTTCCTTTCTGGTTCTACTTTGTGGAGAGTATTTGTCATGAATTGACATTGGATTTCATCCAGCCCTGACTCTCCATTATTTTGTAAGTGTTCATAGTTGCTTGTTGATGCACTTTTTGACAATCATTGCTTTAAAGTCTTTGTGAGATAATTGCAACATCTGTGTAGTCTCAGAGCCAGTGTTGGCTGCTTGTCATTTCCTGTGTGAACTGGAATTTTCCTGGTTACTTTCTGCTGAGTTAGCAGGATAAAATCCAAAGATTTTATTCTGTAGTTCAGCATTTTTGATGAATAAATATCTTTGGTTGAAATCCAGAGCACTAGGCTATATGTGGTGGCACATGCCTATAATCCTAGCACTCAGAGGTAGAGGTAGAAAGAACAGGAGTTCAAGGTCATCCATGGCTTTAGAACAAGTTAGAGGCTAGCCTGGGCTACATGAGTTCCTGTCTCAAAAGAAGAAAGGAAAGAAAGAATCTAGAACACTGAAGTGGATGTTTGGGACAGTCTTGCTCAGGTTAACCATTGTATTTAGGGGACATAGTTTGTAGATTTCCCAGCCTTTATTACTGGAAATATTTTTTGCAAGTGTATGTGTTGGTGGTGTGTGTGTGTATGTCACATACACCACACACTGTGGTGGCTTGAAAGAAAATGGTCCCCAAAGGGAATGGCACTATTAGGAGGTGTGGCTTTATTGCAGTGGGTGTGGCTTTGTTGGAGGAAGTGTGTCACTGTGGAAGTGGGCTTTAAGGTCTCATATATGTTCAAGCCACACCCAGTGTTTCAGACCACTTCCTGTTGCCTATGAGTCAAGAAGTAAGAACTCTCAGCTCCTTCTCTAGTGCCATGTCTGCCTTCATGCTACCTTGCTTCCCTCCGTGACAATAATGGACTAACCTCTGAACTGCAAGCAAACCACCACAAATTCAATGTTTTCCTTTATAAGAGTTGCTGTGGT